AGAATCTAAGTAGCCTGTAAGTACCACATAGGAACTTAAGGAAAATGGATTGGGAGTGTTGTGCAGGGGAGTGTATCTGACTCACCCTAAGAAATAGATTGTGTTCTTGGAGTGTCATGTGTTCTGATATATCTGTTATCCTTAAGTATTATTTTCTACTAAAAAGTAAGAAAAAGAGCTATTTTCCCTCACGAGAGTTCTATACACAATAATTGTGTATTAGTAAAGTTAAATAGTGTACAGGCAGCGATTACATGCAGTTGGTTTCTACTCAGTTAAATTTTATTAAAATGTATTTGAATGATTGCTATACAATGCGTGAAATGAATTGGTAGTTCTAATTCCTCCAGTTATCAAGAATGTATGTACTAGGGGCTGGTGCTGTGACATGGTAGGCTAAGCCTCTGCCTGTGGTGCTAGCATCCCACATGGGCACCGGTTTGTGTCCCAGCTGCTCCTCTTCCAGTCCAGCTCTCTGCTATGGCCTGGGAAAGCAGTGGAGATGGTCCAAGGGCTTAAGTCCCTGCACCTGCTAGGAGACCCAAGGTAGCTCCAGACTCCTGGCTCTGGATCTGCTCATTTGGAGAGTGAACCAACAGATGAAAGAGCTTTCTCTTTGTCTCTCCCTCTCTCTTTCTGTAATTCTACCTCTCAAATACGTAAATTTTTTTTTCAAAAAAGAATGTATGTATTCTAGACAGTTGATACTGAACAAAGAAAATACACATAATTTTGAATTTGGAAGAATTTCCCAAATGTTAGATTGCAAGTATTACCAGATGACTTGGTCTTGGCATGTTCATGAATTGTCACTCATGAAAGCTGCCCATTTGTGTCCTTTGGCACTTAGAGCATACAGGAAGAGATAGAACAAGGAATTTTTTCCAGATAATATGCAGGCCTGGGAAAACAGTCATTGCCAGCAATAGAAGAGACCGGTACCATGAACTTGTTGCATATTAATTTGTCATTGATCAGATCACATAAAAGAGATCACAATAATTCATTGTGTATTTAATTATGTGCTAGATGCTTGGCTGATCACTTAACCTATTTTATTTCATTTCATCTACCAGGAGTTGTTTATAGTACTTATCACACCTTTGCACAGAGACATTATATAACTCTATCGAGGCAACCTGCTGCAAAGTAAATGAGCAAGCAATTGAATCAAGTTTTCCAAATCCAGCCCATATGTTCAGTGCTAAACCTCTTCCTATTCTGAAATCAAGGGCAAATCAGATATTTAATTTTTTTAAAAAATTCTTATAAACTCAGTTTGTTAGTTCCTAGATACACACACACACACACACACACACACACACACACACTACTCCCACCCCGATAATTTATTTTATTAGATTATATTGGGATTCAAGATCCCTATTTGAGAGTTAGTATTTTTGTATAAGAAATTGAGTATTTCTAGTAGTTTGAAAAACATATTTTTTGAAGATGGTATCAATTTTATTGTTCCAGTTATATTTTTAAGAGCTTTTCTGATTAATAAAATGATAGCTCAGAATAATAGAAATACTAGTTTTATTACCCACAGTGTTAACTCTAAAGAAACTGCCCTGAACTCCAGCCTAGCCCATGACCAAGAATGGGAGAGGATTTTATGCTTTAGTAATGGTAACAGTATGTGGGAATTTGATTAGAATGAAAGGTAATATTTAATAAATGAAATAGTACCTACTAGGATGCACAGTATCTTTTACTGGGGCAGTCAACTACTTTAAGGAATATAGTAAATCTTCAGATTGTTAGACTTGAAAACAAATTAGGAGTTTTCCCAAGTTGCTCACTTAATGACTTTCTTTAGTTCATTGATTATGTGCAATAACTGATGTCTTTTTCAATTAAATGCAGATATTCATTCTCAATCAATTTGATCATTTTTTCTTTAACTTTTTAATTGCGAAGAGGTTTCCTCTGCTCAATAACCTGTATGATGTCATGCCTAGGATTTGTATCATGGACTGCATTGCATGTGACATCAGTTTGTTGAGATAAGAAAGATCCAGTGAATGCTGTATGACTGTAGAACAAAGGAGGATTGCTTATGTGGCAGTAGAATTATTAGTGCTCTAAAGTCAGGAATTTCAAAAATTTGGCATTTAGAAGGATTAATGAGGTATAAAGGAGTCCAGTTATCACAGGTTTCCAGAGAAAGAAGAAGCCTGATTCATAGCAGAGAGACTGAGTTATGAGCAGAATCTTAAAGAATTATAAAGCAGAGCCCCTGCTACAAAGATCTAAATAGGAAGAATTTGATCCATAGCTTAAAAGTACTCATGCTGGGTATGAAACTACGAACTGAAAAACTCAAGTTGAACTCAACCTTAACAAGGTATGGACAGCGAAGTACTGGATAGCTGGTATGAATTTTGTCCTTAATCAGATTCTTGGGGAGCAAGGGAGATTCCTGCTCAGAATGAAATGAAGTGACACTATGAGACTAAAGTACCCCAGAGTTGACAGGCCACACCATACTTGAAGAGGGAAATACTGGAAGCCATTCTGTTCATAGCCTGGATTTTGATGTGTGAAACATCACACAAGATGTCACTCAAAGCATATACCTTAATCTGACACTTAATTGGAGGGTGTATTTCTATTTATATTAGCATTTTGAGAGCAGATAGAAATATAGCTGGGAACGATTTTATAAATTCATTTAAATTCACAGGATTTATCATTGAATTTCATATTTCAAAATTCCTTTTGTTCTTCCATCATCCATAAATATTCTTCTCAAAACTTTCTTTCCAAATCTGTATATTTCAAGATTTAACTAATATACTCACCTACTTACAGTAATTATTGGAAACAGTTTCAGCAAATACATACCTAAAGATAAAAAATATTTTTCTTTAACTTATTTTCTCTTTGACCTATGAATGGTTTACTTAGACCCTGGATATAGACATTTCTTATTGGTAAAAATTGATGTTTGATTAATTTGAATAAAAATATAAATAACAAAGGTATTTCAGAAGGTGTGAGTGGTGCGGCTGGCATTGTACTGAAGTAGGTAAAGCCACCATCCCATATGGGCACCTGTTTGTTTCTAGCTGCTCTATCCAGCAGCTGCTAATGGCCTGGGAAAAGCAGCAGAATATGACCCTAGTGTATGAGCCTCTGCCACCATATGGGAGACCTGGATGAAGCTTTTGGCTTTTGCCTGACTGAACCTGGCTATTGCAGCTACCTGCGGAGTAAACCAGCAGATGGACGATCAATCTCCCTCTCTCTCTCTCTCTCTCTCTCTAACTCTGCCTTTTAAATAAATAATCTTGGAAAAGAAGATGTCAATGGATTTTTGGCTGGCTTGAGCAATATACATTATCTGTACCTTACAATCTGATTATAACTTATTTAGTGCTGTTAAAAATAATGTTTTTAAATCAAAAATATTATAAATGTCTTTCTCCACTTTCCTGTTTAAATCAGCTGAATCATCAAGTCCTCAGTGTATTCTAGGTTGTTAACTATCTTTATACTTACTTACCCTTTTTCTTAACAATGGAACATTCTTAAAACATTTTTGTGGCACTAAATAGTAAGAGATATCTTACCATATAGTAGTGTGTTTTTCAGTACTCATTTCAAAAATCATAACGTACCTACAAAGAACCTATTAGTATGCTGGTATGATGTTTTAAAAATGTCTGTGACCAGAATGTATGTTATGAAAACGATTAGGATTTCTTAATCACTTTTGTTTGTAGTTTGGATCAGTGATATGATAGATCTCAGAAATTTTTGCTTATTTATTCCATTCTCACATTTCAGTTAGAAGGAACAATTTATGTTTTTTAACTTTTGGTTTTATATGCTAAATATAATTGTAAATATTCGTGTATTTGCTCAGTAAGTAGATTGTTTTTCCAGATCAACCAAAGATTGTTAGATGTAACACTCAAGAGTTTTTATAAAATCTTTCAGGTTATTTAGTGAATTTTTTACTTGGAACCTTCAAGACTTTGTCACCTAAATAGTAGGCAATTCCTCAAGGTCCTAGTCCCCCTAGACTGCTCAGTCTGACATCTTTTGTGAATGTTATCCAGTGAAGGGGCCACCGCGGTGCTGCTGCACAGGTGCTAGGACTCCTGTTTCACAGGAGGTGCAGACGTTGACCTCACGATGACCCTGTCACAACCACTTGGCTTGAGGTTTTTCGTTTCTTTCCACTATTCTTCAGTTTAAAAGTAGGCAGGTGTATATTTATCTAGATGTTGGAGGAAAGTTTTTGATTGATACAATAATAAGTTTATACATGATAAATACAAATTTAGTGTTCTCAACAAAAAGTGTGTTTAATGGAGTTGAAATTATTTTAAGAGTTTCACACTGACATTACACAAGCAATATAGTTATTATTGAATGTTCTAACAGCAATTTTGCCTTTCGTACTCTTAACTGTTTATTTATAGGACCTTCTTTATTCCTTTAAGAATTCTTCCATTCTTAAATTAAAATTTCTGAAGATGTTTCCCTTCTCTTATATGTATTACATTATTTATACTGGTGCTATGCAAAAGAAACACAATGCAAATTATTTCAAATTGTCTGATAGCTACATTTTAAGACACTGGTATCATTAATTTGACTAGTTTGTATTTAACCTCATATATCCAAAGTACATCATTTCAATATGTGATAGGCATTTAAAATTTTAGTATTTTCTTTTTCTTTTGCAACATGTCTTCAGTATCTGATAGGTAAAGGTTACCACACATCTCAATTCAGACTAACCACATTTCACGTGCTCACTAGACCATGGCTAATTGGACAGCACTGGCAGGTCTTTGTATGGTAAATAATAATTCTCCTGACAAAAAATTGTTCTCGGCAGTTCACCTCAGCTGCTTAGTAGCAGAAAACAAGTTCCTACTTTTTATTATCAAGGCTGAAAATATGCTAATGGTTCTTTGTAGTATTCCAAATATGTGAACATATACCCAACTTAACAAAAATAATGCTGTACTTTGCAGAGAGGCGTGCCCTGGAAAGTATCAAAGAAGGAGTCTTAAAAATCAAAGAAGAACCATCTAAGATACTGTCTGGAAATAAGTTTCAAGACCGGTATTTTGTTTTACGAGATGGGTGTCTCTTTATTTACAAAGACTCAAAGGTATTTGTATAAGTAGAATTTGAATGTGTACATGTTTTTGCTTGTATTGTATTCTTATTTTATACCACTCTGTGTGATATCTGCTAGAAGGAACTGCCTGAAGTAAATGAAATTTGTGTAAGATGGTGATTTATTTGGGAGTCTGAGATACAATGTTAATGTGCCAGTAGTACAGTGAGTAACTATATGGTCTAATTAACTTTCATTTTATAGGACAGAGGATGACTTGAGCCTTTAAGACCAATATGCATTACCTAAACTAACATCTAAATCAGTATTTTAGCAATAAAATTAGGAACAAATGTATCATACCCTAAAGCAAAAGACTTGAATTTGATTAATGGTATTAATAAAAAGTTGAATAAAAAGGCAAAGTAAAAATGAGACTATTTTTATATGTTTGAATGAGTTGACTCATGTAACACTTTTAATTGAATGTAACTGATTTATTCCATATAATTTTGAATTCCTTACAAACTTTTATTAGAGAAACTTTAATAAACTTCAGGTAAAAAGCAGATGTAGATAAATTATGTAGTTTTAAGCATATTGAACATAGCATAGAAAATCTCATTTCTGCAAACATTCAGTTGTGTGAATAAGTAACTTAACCTCTCAACCTCAATTTCTGAATCTGTAATATGATGATGATAGCGTGAGTCACAGGTGCCAGATTGTTGAAATGCTTAAACAAGAGTATATGTGATTTTTTATAAATGTGCAACATTTGTCAATCTGTGTAGTAATAATAGCAGGCTCAACAGAAGATTTAACTAAGAATGTGAATAGGCAAATCCCAAAATGAAGAAAATATATATGTTTATAGTACAAATGAAAGCACTTCAAAAACATGAAGTTTATTTTGGTACAAAGAAAATTTGAAATCTTGCATATGATAAATCATCAATAAGTTCATGAAAATTGCATAATACAAAGAAACCATGGATTTCAAAAATTTTGTGCCAAAATAAACATCTTTTAATTCTATTTTCCATGAACATTTTGACTCAGATTCAGAAGATAAATATTTCTTCCAAATCAACAACAAGAAAGGCAACCAAATAAAAATTTGTGCAAAGGGTTGAACAGAATACATAAGGGAAGGTGTAGAAATGGTCACTAAGCCATTGAACAAAGGCCAATAAACCATTGAACAAAAAGTGATCAATATTGTGTCATTGGAGAAAGTAAAACTATGAGACACTATTTAACACCTACTGGTTTCACTAGAATCTTAAGAATGAACACTCATTATTAATAAAGATATAGAATAATTACAATCATAAAATATTGATGGAAGGGTAAAATCACACAATTAACTGTGTAGAGTTTGGTAGTTTTAAAAACAAAGTTATTTGTATATCTTCCATATGATCTAGAACTTCTGCTAAATATTATGTTCATAAACACACTGAACAATATTTTATTAAATATTTTTTTAACTTTTATTTAGTAAATGTAAATTTCCAAAGTTTATGGATTACTTTGGCTTTCCCCCCCATAACTGCCCTCCACTCTCACCCCTCCCATCTCCTGCTCCCTCTCCCATTCCATTCACATCAAGATTCATTTTCGATTATCTTTATATACAGAAGATCAATTTAGTATATATTAAGTAAAGATTTTATCAGTTTGTACCCACACAGAAACACAAAGTGTAAAATACTGTTTCAGTACTAGTTACAGCATTACTTCACATTGGACAACACGTTAAGGACAGATCCCACATGAGAAGTAAATACACACTGACTCCTGTTGTTGACTTAACAGTTTGACACTCTTGTTTATGGCGTCAGTAATCTCCCTAGGCTCTAGTCATGAGTTGCCAAGGCTATGGAAGCCTTTTTAGTTCGCCGACTTCGATCTTATTCAGACAGGGTCATAATCAAAGTGGAAGTTCTCTCCTCCCTTCAGAGAAAGGTACCTCTTTCTTTGCTGGCCCTGTTCTTTCCACTGGGATCTCACTCGCAGAGATCTTTCATTTAGGTCTTCTTTTTTTTTTTTTAATTAAATATTTTACATAGAACTAGAAGACAACAAACAGTTTGAAGCCTCCAATACAAAGAAATGAGAAATGTTTAAGTAGAAGTAAATGCTACTTACCCTTGAATACTCATTACATATTGTATGTGTATAATGGAATTGTCTCCCTCTGTCCCATAAGCACACATAATTCCTGGTGTCAGTTAAAAACTTTTAATGTGCTAAGCAGCTTTATTCATACAAGCTAAAGCTTGGACATATCCCAGACGTCCAGCCAAAAGAGAATGGTGTATTTATGCTGTGGAATCTCCTCAGCAATAAAAATGAATGAATAACTGGGCTTGCAGCAACATTGGTGAATTTTTAAAATTTTATTAAACAAAGTGGCTTGATATAAAATAGCACTATATGAGTCTATTCATAAGTCTGAGAACAGGCAAAATCATTATAATGATGATAGAAGTCAGAATATATCTGAATTGGGGAGAAAGATTACTGTGGAACTTCTAGAAAGAAGGATCAACAGAGAACTTTCTAGATGGAAATGTTCTCTATCTTGTTTGGGGTCGTGGTCATGTGGTTGTATACTGTACAGTTACATCTGTATATTAAGACTGAAGTAGTATAGAGGTGTTTGGTTGGAATGTAGCAAGGCAGTCAGCAAGACCTGGAGAACCCTTCTTTTGATGTTGAATTGAACAATTCACTTGAGTAAAAATTGCTTACAGACCTTAAGTATCATTTTATGTTGTTCTGGCATGGAGATGTACACAGAAATACCAGATTAGAACATCTTTGTAGATGTTATGAGGAAAGAATAGCTGGACAGATTTCCAAAGCTGCAGCTCCAAGTTTTTGTGTGATCTGTTGACCTCTCCAACAGTTTAACCACTCTCCATGTAAATTCCATCAGCAGGGAAGCCTCCATGTGATGCAAATGAATTTGGGTTGTATTTCCATTTTGTATGTGCATTCCACTGTTTTATTCCTTGGAGGACAATGGGATGGCCAGGCAGAAGGATACCCTTCTGCTCCTATCCTGAATTTAGAGAGATGAATTCTATGCTGTACTTGAGCTCCCACTTCATTATCCACTGGACAGACACAGAAGGGAATGAGCCTGGATGTCAAGTGTGTGTTATTATTTGTTCCAATTCTTCAGTTTTATCAGGAGAGGAATAGCCGAGTTTATACAAATAAGTCATGTGATTATTTGTGGTTCTGTGAATGAACCACATCAAGTGTTAAGGTTCATGAACTTTAGATTTGCATTTGGGAAAGTAAAGGCTTGATTTCTCAGCTGACTCTTCGGAACTGCATCGAATTTAACTTTGTTTGGTATTCTGCAATGGGCCATACGCATTCTGCAACCTGATTTCCTGAATCAATGCCTTTCCATCTCTCTTGCAGTATTTAAAAATCAACCTGAACTTTTTAGTACCATCAAGAAACTAACAACTTCCATTGTGTCGCAGCAGAAGATTGCTAGGAACAAGTAGTAGTGACAGCTGTAGCTAACATTCCAGGGGTTACAGTGTGTGAAATAGAATTCTCTTTATTTTGCTTGGATTATGCCATTTTATCATTCCAACTCCAAGAAATTTGTACTATTACTCTTCCTACTTTACACATGAAGAAATAGAACAACACAAATATTACGTAACTTGTAAAAACTCACATAATGAGTAAGTGATGGAATCAGAATTCCCAAGTGTCAGATGTGAAAGGCCTTACCCAAGAACATACTAAAGAAGCTTAATAAGCTCACATTATATTGTTTGTTTTGATAACAGTATTTTATTTAGGGAAGATAAATTTGTTTCATTGAAATTGTCTCAATCATTTTCAAATGTGGATATATCTAAAATTTATGATTTTTTAAATTATGTTTTTTCCTTTTTGCTAAAGTAAACTTTAATATTTGTCAGAAGGAAGCTTGCTAACAGAGAAGTGGCTCTTACAGATGTATTGTTTTTATGACATGAGGGATCTCACATCTCTTGACAGAATATATTTTAAGAATTTAGGCCGGCACCGCAGCTCAATAGGCTAATCCTCCGCCTGTGGCGCCGGCACACTGGGTTCTAGTCCCAGTTGGGGCGCCAGATTCTGTCCCAGTTGCCCCTCTTCCAGTCCAGCTCTCTGCTGTGGCCCGGGAGTGCAGTGGAGGATGGCCCAAGTGCTTGGGCCCTGCACCCCATGGGAGACCAGGAGAAGCACCTGGCTCCTGCCTTTGGATCAGCGTGGTGCGCTGCCCGCAGCGCGCTGGCCGCAGTGGCCACTGGAGGGTGAACCAACGGTAAAGGAAGACCTTTCTCTCTGTCTCTCTCTCTCTCTCTCTCTCTCTCACACTGTCCACTCTGCCTGTTAAAAAAAAAAAAAAAAAATTTGTAGCATTTTGAAAGAATCATCCAACTCAATATAAAATAATTCATATTCATTAATAAGCAGTGATAAGCTCTAGAGTTTGTCTGAGACTGTGTTCTTTAAGGACACTGAACAGTTTTAAAACATCACAGTGGCCAAAGAGTATGGATTTCTAATCTGAATATTAAGTGTATAACAGCTTTATTTGCACATCTGTCAGAATAAATTAATGCAAATAATATTTTATAACAGATGAGAGATCATATTTTTCCTTTTTTTTTTTTTTTTTTTTGACAGGCAGAGTGGACAGTGAGAGAGAGAGACAGAGAGAAAGGTCTTCCTTTGCCGTTGGGTCACCCTCCAATGGCCGCCGTGGCCAGCGCGCTATGGCCGGCGCACCATGCTGATCCGAAGCCAGGAGCCGGGTACTTCTCCTGGTCTCCCATGGGGTGCAGGGCCCAAGCACTTGGGCCATCCTCCACTGCACTCCCTGGCCACAGCAGAGAGCTGGCCTGGAAGAGGGGCTACCGGGACAGAATCCAGTGCCCCAACTGGGGCTAGAACCCGGTGTGCTGGCGCCGCAAGGTGGAGGATTAGCCTAGTGAGCCGTGGCGCCGGCCCATATTTTTTCCTTTAAACTAAAATAGCTA